TGTGTGTGTGTGTGTGTTCAGCTGTAAACATGAATGTTGGCCAAACGTATCTTAACTGCTTCAGTAACGGCTCCAGTCTTGCCCCATATCTACCACGTGCTGGTGTGATAAATAACACAGAAAGCATTAGTACCTTAGACCTTGTTTGAGATACTGGAAATATATGTATTTTTATATACTGGTAGAATACAGAACAGTGCATATACAGTAGTAAACATATTTAGCTGTTAACACACATAGCAGGGTTTACTGTAAATGTCTCTGTGTTGCATTTAAGGCAATATCATTGTCCATCTTTAGCACAGCATGATTTTAAGTGTATTCATTCCAGGGCGCTATCTCATCAAGTGTCAGCAGCTTCCTTACCTCATTGTGAAAATGATCAATAATATATAACATGTTAGCCAGCTCTGCTTAGGGTTCCTGAGAGGCGAGTGGTCCTCTTCTGGGTCCTGAGAGGCGGTTGGTCCTCTTTGTGGTAACGAAAGGCGATTGGTCCTCTTCTGGGTCCTGAGAGGCGATTGGTCCTCTTTGTGGTAATGAGAGGCGATTGGTCCTCTTTGTGGTAATGAAAGGCGATTGGTCCTCTTTGTGGTAATGAAAGGCGATTGGTCTGTTCTGGGGCCCTGACAGGTGACAGGCCTGCTTTGGCTGTGCGCTGCAGCAGAAATGAAGAGGCTGTGGCCCGTTTCTCCCCCTCTTCTGTTGCCTGTAGTCTGGCATCTGTCCCTGAATGTTTCTGCAGGTGCTGGATTAGTCTCCTCACTACCCCGTCGTCTTCGCAAATAAACTCCCGGACATCCTGCACAGAGTTTTCCTTAATTTGATCTCACCTATTGCTCAAAAAGGTACAGGAGCAAAGAGGAAAGCCAAGAAGCTCTGTTCAGGAAGCGAAAGGTGCTGCACCTGGTGTCGCAGTGGACTGCCCTGTACCGAGACGTCCTGAGAGAAGAAGAGCACGTCAAGCTCTTTATGAAGGTATTGGTCACATGCCAGGTTTTAAGGCACAGTAAATGAAACGCGCTTAAATTTTCTTCATCCTGGTTTTTGTAAGGCAAGGTGCTTTTTCTAGGAGTTCTCAGATCTGAAGCCACCAGACACAGTGTGCGCAGTGGTTTGGGTGGAGACGCAATCGGGCAGTGTACTGTACCTCTTCACCCCTGCAGGCGAATTGTGATCACCTGTGCAGGGACAGCAGAGACAGCTCCCCGTGGTGCTCCGATGTGTGCTGCAAATCTAAAATGAGCTTTATTGATTTATTGATATCATACTTGGATATCTGCAACATCCTTTGCTTCCTCTCTTAATGGAAAAAGCAGTTGACTAGTTTCAAAGTGTGATTGAATAGTTCATCCCACAAGTCCAGTACGTAGTTTATAAAAGCAGGAAAAGCTGTTCCTGCTTTCTTGTAGATTAGTAACAATGAGAGACTGCTGGGATGACACTG